CGAGAGGGATCTCCGCCGGGCTTCGGATCGAGATTGGGATAGAGCCCGTCGCGTGTCTTCCTCCAAGGCATCCTCAGCGGCTCGAGCCTCCTCCGAATCCTCCGGACTTTCATCGTCGTCGTCGTCGTCATCGTCATCGTCGCCCAGAGTGAAGGGATACGGGCCGGAGGACGACGTACGCTTCGATGACGGCCGGATAGGATGTCCTGAGCCGTCGGACCAGTCGGATTCCTCATCCTCGTCGTCCTCCGAGCTGCCAAGTCCACATCCAGGGGGAATGACACGTTTGGCCTTCCCCTTCCCGGGTCCAGTACGGGCCGGCGGAGGGCTGATGGAAGCGGGCTGGGGAACGGCGGACGTCGTCACCGAAGGACCAGCGGTGGATCTCGTCTTGGACGCCGATCCCGGTTTGGATACGGCCGTAGATCCCGCCTTGGCAGTGGATCCAGCCTTGGATCCCACTCCCGCTTTGGACGTAGCAACGGGATCCAGTCTTGGACGCCGTAGACCCAGTCTGGGGGTCCAGATCCAGACTTGGACGTAGTGGCAGATCCAGTCTTGGACACCGAGGTAGATTTGGATCTAGCGGTGGATTCCAGACTTGGATCCTGCGCCCGACTTCGAGGGGGAAGCGGAAGTCTTGGACGCGGATGTGGATCCCGCCTTGGACGCAGAGGTGGATCCCGCTTGCGAAGCCGTTTTAGAGACCGGAGTCGGTTTGGGTTTGGCTTTCGGGGAAGCTCGAGCATGCTTATGGGGACGGAAGGATCCGGTGCTACGAGCGGGAGACGCACTACGCGGACGTTTCGCAACTGATGGATCTGCCCCACTTACAGACGGGAGGGGAGCAGAGACGCTGGCAGCACGAGAAGGCCCCGACAAGAGAGGAAGGGGATCCGACTCGGCAGCTGTCACCAGCGCCAGTCGTCGACGAGCCAAATCCCGCTCCGATAAGCCACGATCGCGCTCCAGGACCAGCTGTTGCTGCTGAGTTTGGGCTGCAGCGAGTTGATCCCGGAGTTTCGCGGCGGTCGCATAGGCTTCTTTCAATTTATCACCTGGATTGACAATAACGAGTGAATAGGGGGTGACTAGCAAGGACTAAAAGAGGATCCACGTACTCGTGCGGCGAAGCTTGGATTCCAGCTCTGTTTGTGCACGCTTGGCATCCGCCCACTCGGTAGCCGCCTTGTCCCGCTGGAGTTCGCTGTCCGCCAGTTTCGCTTGGATCTCGTCGCGCAATTGAGTTATACGCACGAATTCCTCGAGCGCGTACTCTCGTCCGGCAGACGCTTTCTCGAGCGACTCCTTGGTATCCTGCAACTCCTCAGCAAGCTGAGCCAGAGCTACATCCGGCGACGAGGGAGGTGGATTTGGCGCGGGAGATCCTCCACGCGCCGACCCTAAGGTGGATCCGCCATGGGTGGATCCCACATAGTCGTTGGTCACCACCTCCTCTTGGGTCAGACGCAACTCGTCACGGAGCCGGTCCAAGCTCGCATCCGCAGCTGCCCCAGCAGTCTGGGAATCCTCCAGATCCCGCTCGAGGTCGTGTATCCGGGATTGGAGCTGGTGGATCTCAGATCCAGCGAGCGCCATCTCCCTAAGGAGATGGTCGTTGTCATCCCGCATGACATCTCGCTGACGGGAGGCGCGATCCAGCCGTCCGGTCAGGTCGCGGATCTCGACCGCCTGATCAGCCAACAAGAGTCGCAGGTCCTGCGACCGAGAGGCCGCACGGTGCTCCCACCCCTGGATCTCCATAGCCTGGTCATGGATTTGGGCTTGCAAGGTCTGAAGTTGGGTAGTGTGCAGAGACGCAGCTTGGTCTTGGGCATCTTGAGCCGTCTGGAGCTCCGCCGTCAGGGTTTGCACCTGATCGGAAAGAGCCTGGGCTAGAACCCGCAGAGCGGCGGGCGACATAGAAGACGGACTGATCGGAGGTGTGGTGGATGGGGCCTTGCCCGACGATTTGCCGGTACGCTTGGCGGGAGACATGTGTCGCGAAGGGGAGAAAGCGGTTGTGGATGCTGGTATTGCACGCCGTGAACGCTGTTGTGCAGCGCCGACAACGTACAGGAGGCGATTGTGGTGAAGTGCTTTCTCAGAAATAAGAGAATGGGGCCTGACGCGGGGTCACTATCCCCGAATCAGTGACAATTTCAAGTGATTAGAGAGGATTTGGGGTTGGTGGCACGGATGCAAGTTGTCCGGTGGTGGATTAGCCATGACGAGCAGCACCCCGTATGAAGTGACGATGGGATCTGGTTTGAGCGATGTACGAGAAACAAGATCCACCAGGACTTACCTTCGGATCGCACCCTTTACTTGGTTCACTTAAATGGATATGGGATATACTATACAA